GGGCTGGGAACCATCCAATACCAAGGAGAGGAAGAGCCCTGCGTGGGGCACGGGCAGCTCTGCCACGGGGCTCCCTGGAGCTGGATAGCATATGATGGAACAGAGCAAAGCATGGAATCACGCTGGGTGTGCAGGGCCGGGCAGCATGGGTGTGCAGGAGAGAGGTGCTGGGAGTGCCACAGCCAACAGCACTGTGCTCCCCCCACAGCCCCCACAGCACTGCTCACAGCCCCGCACAGCTGGAGCTGCTGCAGTGGCACCTTATTTATGGCTCTGCTTCCCCGAGTTAAACTCCACAAAGTGTGACAATCAAAATTAAGGATTTCTCCCGAATGTCAGCCTGGGGGAAGTAGCTGGCGAGGCCGGTGGAGATTTCCCAGCGGTGACTTTTAAATTAAAGGGGAAAAAAAATTCTTTAATTTGGCGGCGTGCTTGGGATGCAGCTCACTGGGCGCGTTATTATCCGGCTCAGCAAACACTCCCGGAATGCACTCATTCCAAACCACCCTCCATCCATATCCATGTCCCCACATCCCTCCCACCCCACTGCTGCAGTGACTGACTTCTGCCCCACATCGGGCACCGCTGACCCCGCAGGGACCATCGTGCTGCTGCCGTGGCTCCTGCGTGGCACAAAGGGTCAGGAACGTGGTGCAGCCGGCCCCGGAACAACGTGTCTGCCTCCCCCGATCCTTCCAGATGAGGCAATGAAATTATTTTTCTACTTGAGTAGTTTTCAATTTAGATTAAGAAAAATCTGTGCTCCGTTAGCGGCGTCGCAGTAAATCACGAGCGAGAGGCACGGCACGGCTGACAGCCCGATCGCTTATCGGCTGCAAACCTTTCTCACATTGACAGGCCCAGAGGTGTGACATTGAGCCAGGCTGTGGGCAGCAGTGCCTGGGGCATGGGGGTCTCATGGTGCCTGCATGGTCTGGCAGGGCCACCCCTCTGTATCGCATTGCAGAGAACTGGAACAGCGCAAAGGATGCGAGGTGCAGCCCTGAGCCCTTAGCGTAGCATTCTGAAGGTCTCATCTCCAGACCTCAGGGATGTCTCTACCTGCACCATCATCCCACATTGCCTTCCTGCACGGAGCTGAGCAGCTCAGCCACGACTGCACTCACCCACATGCAGCAGCCAGTGCAGCAGAGGCTGCCCCCATTGGTGGCTGAGCTGGGGGCAATCCCCAGCACAGGTCCCATCCTCACGCATGTCTCCATGCTGCTGGCATTCTGCAGGGAGCACCTGGCCCAGCACCATCAGAAGGAGCATTTGACAGCAAACAAACCATTTTTTTCCCTCTGGTTCTTTCAGCTCGTTTATCGCCTGCACAGGGCAAGCAGAGCTGTCATTGCCTGAACCTCACTCATCCGTTTAACCTTGGGGGAAGAAACACATTTGTGGTGGATAGCATGCATCAGATGGTGGCACGGGAAGCGCCTGTAGCTGCTGCTCCTGATGGATGGGCTACACGGGCCTCAGCTGACCTGTGCTTGTATGTTATCTGCATTGCTGCAGGAGGCTTTTCATCACGCCGACAGCTCCGCCATCACCTGCCTGGCAGAGCTCCTCGCTGGGCAGCAGCCACGCAGCTGCGGTGCCACCACAGCACCAGGCAGGAGACGGTGAGCTGCAGTGTGGGAAGGCTGTTCCATATGCCCAGCACGGATGGCATCACCACCTGCAATTCCATCTCCTCTGTATGGGCTGTGGGGAGCAGCCAGCCGTGCCCATGTCATGGGGAGAAGCCAGCCCTGGGCTGCACAGCATCCCGAGATGCAGCGTCTGTGCAGGGCTGCCTCTGATTCCAGGCACAGCACCCATCCATTCCTTTGCACAGACACCCATCCTTCCCCGTGCTGCGAGGTCCCTGTGGCTGTGCCTCACCAACACATATGTTGGGCACAACCCATCACACAGCTCAGCACCGGGGCCGCAGCACCTCGGAGCAGCAGCAGGCACAGCTCCCATCCCCGGAGGCACTGGAGCAAAGGCTGGGAATAAACGACTCTGTTTATGAAGCCCATAATGGAGCCAGCAAAATCAGTCACTAGGCACAGCGGCGGCGCTGTGTTAATGGGATGTTATTTATGGCACTTCGCTGACGGCGCGGGAGCTCGGTGCATCCCACTGCCAGGCATCGCCCCCTGTGCCCTGCACTGCATGGCACAGCAGGGGGCAGGAGCTGGGGCAGGCAGTGGAGCTGTGGTTCCGAAACCGGGGATGATACAGGGACACAGGGAGCAAACTGCACCCACAGTGCTGAAGCTGTAAGGCCGTGGCAGTGCAGAGCCGGGGGCCGTGGGGGCCATCACCACCAGCAGTGCCAGCAGAGGGAGAAGCCAGGCTGTCACACGTGTCCTTTGGGTGACATTTTGCCAATGAGGGGTCCTGTGACAGTGATGGAGAGGGCATTGAGCCGGGCAGCACCGTGCCCGGTGACGGATGAGCGCTGCCAAGTGTCGACACAGAAGCCATTTGGTGTGGGGAGATGATAGATGCTAACACTAATTTTAAACACAGGCAGCCGAATTCCTCCAGACAGGCACGGCACTCAGGATTTAGGGCACAGCTGCTGGGTTCAGATAAGGTGTGAAATCAGCCGGCGTGTGGGGTGTTACCCAATAACGAGCACCTCGTGATGGATGGGGGCATCTTCCTACTGCAACCTCACACCATCATGTCTCCTGGCATCAATTCTTCCTGCTGGGGGATGTGATTCCTCCTCCCAGCCCCAGCTCCTGCATGCAGGTACCCACAGCCTGGGCACTGTGCAGGACTGATGGCTGTGTCCCATGGGGTGACACAGTGCCTGCTGCCACCACCTGCACTTCCGTGTCCTCTCCCTGTGATGCAGCCTGGGGACAGCCCCATGCCAGGGGGCTCTGAGCCACATGGCAGCGCCAGGACACAGCTCAGTCCCAAATAGTTATGGAAAAGTGATGCTTGAAATGGCAATCGCTGTGCTTGTCTGTAGCATTTAATCTTTCTTCTGACCTTATAAAAAAATCTATTTGTGTTGCGGTTTTAAACCCAGTTCTTAAATCACTCACTACAGGCTTCACACTGTATTAATTTCTCCTCAAGCAAATGAGTTTGGTATTTGCTCTTTTCCAGTAGCATCAGCACCAGAGAGCACAGCAGATGCACGGCGCTTCTGTCCCTCTGCTCAAAGCTGAGTATGACACATTGCACCTCCTTCTGAGAGCTGGATTGGGAAAAGCAGCACCAGGAGAGCCATCCCCTCCCCCCCATCCCATTCCACCCCCCTTAATTCCATCCCATCCCACACCCTCTGCTCTGCCAGGAGGAGCAGGAGCTGCACTGGAGGCAGTGGGGCAGTGCAGGGATGCACAGCTGCAGTTGGAGATGACGAGCTGCCGGCACACTGCCATTGATTCAGAGGTGATCGCTGCAGAGGTGATGCGTGGTCAGCTTGCCTCATTATTGTGCAAATTGCTGGAAATGCAAATCTCTGGGTGCACCTGGGGAAAAATGTATTAATAATATTACTCCTGATTAAGGTCACAGGGCACTGTCTGCTTATTCAGTGGTGTCTAGGCTCCCTTTCCTCTTCTGAATCTAATACTGGGTTTATTTCTATATCAATGACACCGGAGTCCTTAGGAGATATTTTATCATTGAAAACTCACTCACAACCACGTGCCAAAGCTCTGGCTGCAGCGTGGGGCTCCCGGCTCCAGCACCAGGATCACAGACCTTGCTGGTGGCAGCCTGGGGTCACCAAGTGACGCTGCACCGGGGATGGCAGGTGGCACCTCCACAATCATGGGGCCCTGCATAGCTCTGCAGACACTCAGCCAGCAGCCTTGGAACAGCCAGCAAGGAGTGTCACCAGCTGGGCTGTCAGCCTTCCACCTGGGCACGGCATGGCACAGCTTGGCACGGCTCAGCGTGGCACAGCACAGCGTAGCATGGCACCGCTTGGCACAGCGCAGCCCCAGGTGGCTGCGGGTCTGACCCCCATGCAGGCAGTCAGTGGGAGCCCTGAGCTTGTGATCAGCTGAATGGGCATGAGCAGAATGCCAAAGCACTGCTGATTTATTGCTGAGGAAACGCTTAATTTAGGCAATGTACTTAAAGGAACTAATTAGAATTGCATTAATATTTATGGACCTTATGGAGAAGCTGATAGTCACTATTTGTGGGTATTAACTGTTATCTTACACCAGGCAGGACCGTGGTGTTTGGAGGCAACTCTAATTGTGGCGAGGGCAATCAAGATCTCACCAAAAAACAGCCAGCCTGGAGCTGCACATCCACACCACATTTGCAGTGCTAATGAACATCGGTCGCAATTAATAACCCTGCTCAGAGCCACTGAGTATCACCCCAGGAGGAGGATCACAGCCACTGCTCGGGTCAGACGTGATGCTCCCATCCACCTGTGCAGGAGATGGGCAGTTACTGGGACTGCAGAGGGGCTGGTGGCTGTGAGTACCTGAGGGGCTGGGGCTGCTCCTGGGGCAGGGGCACACCAGGCTGTGTGAGTGGGCTGGGGCAGAGCCCCTCTGCACAGTGCCCAACACAAGCACAGCCATCTCCTTGCCCGCATGGCCAACCTCTTGCTATAGCAAAGTTCACATCAATTCTCCTTCCCCTCATTTGTCTGTAAACCATGAAGAAAAATCACCTCCGTCTGCCCACATCGGGCTGCTGCCGTGATGTATGGCTGTAATAAAAACCCCATTTTGGGAGGCCGCCTTCCTATGCCGCCAACCAGGCTGTGCCACGGTCCGGAGCCGCAGCCAGACCTGCTCCATCCCCCCGGCTCTGTGCCACCCGGCTGGGGCCATTACGGATGGCGCTATTAGAGCTGTATTGAGCCGCGCTGCGGAGGTGGCCACAGCGCTGCCGTCATTAGCCCGGCATCCGCGAGCGATGCCCAGCTCTCCCACTGCCGCCCTGTGGCCCCGGCCCCATCCCTGCCCCAGCGTCCCCGCAGATGTGTTGGGAAGGCAAGACAGAGGCAGTGGTGCTGCTCCAAGCCAGGCGTCCTGGCGGCTTTATTGTGTGGGGCAGAACGGTCGGCTCTGCAGATCTGGGCGGGCTGTGATGTCCGGAGGTCAGCGCTTATCCAGCCCTGGGGAGAAAGACAGAGCAGTGAGCAGGGCTGCAACCGGCTGGGCTCTGCCGGGTGCTGCTGCCCACCGCAGGGCTGCGGCGGCACTGCCAGTCCCCCCAGTCTGCTCTCCTAAATGTGCACACAGAAAAGGGAAGCCGCCTGCAAAGAGAGCCATTTCTTCCCGTGCAGGCTGAGAGCATGGCAGGATTAATATTTTGATAATCAGCTGCAATTATTATTGCTAAGAGCATCGCCTGCTTCATGCCCAAATCAAACCCAGCTCCCAGGATGGAGCCGTGTGCTGATTGGAATCACCGAGCAGGAACGCTTCCAGTCCCCGCGCGGCACCCACACGCACAGCAGCCGAGCAACCATGGCTGCTGCTGCCTGACCACCGCAGCACAGCTCTGCATGGCAGGGCTCCGGGCAGACCCGCCAGCAGCAGCCGCAGCAGCACTGGGTGCTTTCCCTCGGCATGTGCTGCCCTGCGCATCCTTCACCCCGCTCTGTGCTCCCACCCGTGCCCGGCTCTCACCGTACTGGCAGACCTGCCGGCACTCCTCCGCCGTACGGAAGTTGTTGACGTTCCCCCCGCAGCCGCTGTACACAAACACGCGGCACGACCTCAAGGCAGGGATGTAGGCGTAGCGATAGAGGCGCCTCCTGCACGGGCCGCGCTCCGGGGCCAGGTGGCACAACTGCCTGGGGTCAGAGCACCAGCGGCAGCCCAAGCCCAGCAGGGACAGAGAGACGCTGAGCCTGGAGCTCCTGCGCAGGGGTGGGCAGCACGGCGGGTGGTTGGGGCACTCGGTGTCACCGCTGCAGGTGCTGTTGCGGCAGCCGATGGCGTGTGGCGCCTTCTTCTTGGGGAAGGTGTCCGGTCCGGCTGCGGATGGGGAAGAAGGGCTCATGCCCATGGGGTGCATCCCAGCCGTGGTACCAAGCCCAGAGTCCTGACTGCCCTTACCTGGTACTGGCTGCGGGCAGCGGAACCGGCACCTGATGCGGCAGCACTTCCTGCTGCCCCTGCAGTTGCCGTCATCTCTGCATTTGTTCACACAGTTGGTCGTTGGGTCGGGGTCAATCCGTGGTTGGAAATCTTCATTCGCTGGGGGGTGACAGGGGGTCAGGGCCCCATCAGCCCCTTCCCGTGCCCATCCCTGTCCTATCTGTCGGGTGGGGAGCAGGGGGCACAACAAGACCCTGAACCAGAGGGACTGAAAGGTAAGAGAGGTGGGGTGCAGGGGCCCTGCTACAGCCCTTGTGCATGATGCACAGGCAGCGGACAGTGATCAGACCTGCCCAGACCAGAGCATCCCATCCTTGTGCCAGGATGGGACACAGGACCACCAGCTCACCCCCCAGACAGCAGAGGGCAAGCTTCTGTGGGGCCTGTGGGGCTGCTGGGAGGACGGGATCCCTCACCTTGCTGGCACTCTTGTCTGCATCCTGTGCTCCCCGCACACTTTGAGGAGCAGACGTTGTTACGGGGGCTCGTGATGGTCATGCTGATCTCTTGGCACTTACCAGGCTCCCCTGGGAGGGAGAACAGTGGAGGAGTGACAGAGTCACCCGCATGGCTCCTACAGCTCAGCATGGGCAGCAGATCCCAGAGCTGCTCAGCCTCGCTGCAGGTCCCACGCCACCCTCACACTCACTGCCCCATCCCCAGTGCCCCTTCCTCCAGCACAGCCCAGCAGCAGTGTGGGCACATGGAGCATCACAGTGCCCACAGGAGCACCACTGCTGTTGGGATGCACTGAACCTGGGACAGAAGTAACGCTTTCCTGCCGCCGCCCCCAGCTCTGTGTGCATCAGATCTGCATCATGGCCCTGGGGCTGTGCTGGCTTTTCTTCCTATTCCCCTCGCCGTGTGATGTCCGGCCTTCAATCCCATGGCTCTGTGACCATGCCCTAACCGGGACACACTGGCACTCACCGGGTTGCACGGAGGGACGGTCTGTCCGGTCTGTCCGTGCCATCTCCCCCGATGCGTGCCTCGAAGTCGCCCAGCCCTGGCCCCAGGGGGCCGTTAGGAGCAACAGCAGCAGCAAACCCGGCTCCATGGCACTGCCCTCACAACGCCCACACCTGGCGACCTTATGTACGGTCCGGTGCCCTGCCCTGGGCCTTGCGCAACGTCGGGGCTCCTCCCGGCTTGGTTCAGCACGGTTCGACACAGCTTGGCTAACCACTATGTAGCTCGACTCAGCACTGCTTGGCTTCACTTGGCACGGCTCTGCACGGAAGGGCTGGGCTCGGCTCGGCTCGGCTCGGCACGGCACGACGCGGTTTGGCAGGGCACAGCACAGCACGGCTCTGCACGGCACGGCTCTGCACGGCACGGCATGGCTCGGCTCGGCTGGGCACAGCACAGCACGGCTCGGCACGGCTCAGCTCCGCTCCTCGGCACGGCTCGGCTCGGCTCCGTTCAGTGTCGGGCAGCGCCCAGCCGCTCTCAGCTCCGTGCTTCGGCGGAGCAACAGCCTCCCCTGCCGGCCAAAGCGCACCGTTGGCGGCTCTGCGCGGCACGGCACGACCGGGACGGAGCACGGACAGGAGGGGGCTGCGCGCACCGAGCAGGAGGTCCCCACGGCCGAGGGGACCCGGCGATAGCTGTGCGTGCCCCATCCCTGGAGGTGCCCAAGGCCATGGAAGCTGCCCGGCGCAGTCTGATGTGGGGTGGGAGGTGGGACAGAGAGCCCACGGCACGGGGTGGGGGGCCTGGGGGAGCTCTGGGGTTCCTTGCAACCCAGCCATGCTGTGACACTGTGACTCTATGAATCCCCACGCTGCCGTCGCTGCGCTGCTCGTCTTCACGTCGGGGCGTCTCTCTGAGCGGCCCTGCGGGGATGGGACTGTTCTGGGGCCTTTTGTTTCTCTTGCTGAAGGTTCCCTTTGTTTCAGGTGCAGTCTCTCTAGCAACAAGCGCGTTTGGCTATTGGGAGCATGGATGACGCAAACAGGAATTTCCCAGCAGGGAAATAGGATCGGCGAGGTGTACAATCCCCCCTCTGAGACAGCAGCGATCCCTTCGGCCCGGCACGTTGACGCCCAATTGCAGGTGGGCTGAAAGGAGCCCTGCCAGCAGCAGTCTCTGCCCGCCTGGTGCTCAGCCATGGCCTCTCCCCATTCCCTGCTCTGCTCCTCCTCACCGGCCCCAGCACCATGCAGCTCCCACCCTGCAGCCCCCTACCCCACACCTAGCCCTGCACCACATCTGTCACCCACCACCCACAGCCACAGACACTCCTTGGGGCATCTGGCTTCCACCACGTAGCTCTGCTGAGCCCAGTGAGCCCAGTGCCCACGAGGCAGGCCCTGAAGCAAGAGGCAGCTGGAGCAGATGGGTCATGGCACCACATGCGCAGCCCCGTGGGGACACGAAGGCGCTGCTAAGTGTCTGGGTCACCTTGGCTGCGTCACCCACCTTGGGGCCACGTGGCACAGAGCAGCACACCGTGGCACCGCTCACCCTTCACTCCCTATGAGCTCCCCACCCCGTCTGGGGGTTGCAGCACCTGCAGGGATCGGGTGCAGTGGGGCATGGGGCGGGCAGGAGGCAGCCCCACACTGACCCTGCCGACGTGACGCACCCAGCCTGCCTGGCCCTGCAGAGGAATGGGTGCAAGGCGGGTGGGGGCACGGCACAGCGCCTTCCCGCACTCTGCACCCCCTGAGGCCATGCTCACCCTTGGGGACCAGGGCTGTGACATGGGGACGGGGCAGGCAGGAGCCAACACCGAGGTGTGGGCACAGCACAGTGGGCAGACGTCCTCCTGCCTCCCACCCTTGCTCCCTGACCCACAGCTTGTCCCATCTCTCTCCAGGCCCAGGCGGCATCTGACATGTGTGGTGATGAGTCCCCATAGCTATGGAGAGTGGCTGTGGAGAGAAGATTGCCACCCCTTTGTTGACCACCCTGCTGTCCTCAAACCAGGGAACTCCAGCCCCTTCCTTCGTGCTGCCTGGCCTGTCGCCCACGTTGCCACCACCCAGGCACAGTGCTCACGTCCCCACCCAGCCTGGCTGTTGGGAGTGGGAGAGGGCCATGGTAAATGATTTCTCAGTTAATGACATCACACAGGGCTGCTGCTGCTGCCTCGGGCACAGCCTTGAAATGCAGCAGGAGTTTCAGCACCCAAAGGTTATGTGTGTGGTGGCCCCTCCCCAGCCTCATATGGATATAAACCCCCGCTGACCCACGCCAGCTGTCGGAATCCTCGGGAGCACCATGAAGGCCGCCGGTGTTCTGCTTGTGGTTATCCTTGCACTGTGCACACAGCTGCAGCCAGCTGCCACGGCCGCTGTAACCGTAGGTGAGTGCATGAGGTGGGCACAGGGTCACAGCAGCTCCCAGGGCACTGCAGGGCTGGCATGGGCTGCTGTCCCTCCAGTGGGACACACTGCAGCAGCACAGGGCCAGGCACTGCCTGACAGCTCCTCAGCCCTGAGCGGTGCCACTGAGATCCGTGCCATGCAGGTAGCATGGGGGCAAGAAGAGCTTGAGACTGCAGCAGAGCACTTCTGCTTACATGGGGCATGCCTGGAGGGGTGGGACAGCCCCCAGAGCGGTCAGAATTCCCAGAACATCAGCCCATGAATGAGGCTGTCTGTCATGATTTGAGCTCAGAAAGTGCCTGAGCCTGAAGGAAGGGGTGTCCCCTTTTCACCCTGTCTCCCAGTGTCCCTGCCTGCCGGGGTGCACAGCCACACTGCCTGTTGGGCATTTGCTGTGCTCTTCATGGAGGGGCTGTGACCTCAGCTCCTTTCTTGCCACCTGTGGGTCAGCTGTGGTCACCGGGCACAGTGCACTCACTGTTCCTCTGCTGGGGGAAGGGCGCCCATCAGTTTGGGCTCCTGGGCCAGGGTCCTGCCCGTGACATACCATGGCACAGAGCTGGCTGCCGCGGCTCACACAGCCATGGCTGTCCCTGTCCTCTGGTAGGGAAGCACCTGGCAGAGCCAGGGCAGGACAGTAGCATCCTGAATGCTGTGTGTGGGCGATAGGAGCCAAAGCATATTCAGGGAAGCGATGGTGAGTGCGTGGGCTGAGCCAGGCACAGCTGCAGGCCCTGCAGCCGGCAGGTTCTGTGCCACCCCAGCTGCTCCTGCTGGCTGCAGGCAGATCCAGGCAGAACAGGAGCTGAGCAGTGTCCCACGGGGGTCACAGTGTCACCCCTGGGTAAAGCCCGGCACCTTGCCCTGCTCTGCATTGCTCCCTCCATGAGTGCTGTCCTTGGAGGGCTTTCTGGGCTCCCACCCTCTGCAGTTTCCCTGCTGCTGGCTGCTGTGGTGCAGCTTGGCTGCGGGAATCCGCACGTCCGCAGCCCCCCCGGCCCCATCCCACTCACACCAGTGCTCAGGAAATGCTGCACTCTACAGATTTTACAAGCCAAAGGGACTGATAAGGGCAATTAGAAGATCAGCCATCTGAGCAGAGTGATGAACCTCAAAGGCAAGTGCTGCTGGCAGCACCGGCGCAGGTGCAGCAGCACAGATCATGGCAGGACATGGAGCTGATCCCGGAGCTGTGGGGTGGGCAGCACTGCCCCACTGCCAGGTGCCAGCCCTGCTGCAGCGTTAGGTCAGGATGGATTTTGTCCCTGTGCAGCACACAGTGGGGACACATGGTCACTCAGCCCAGCCTGATGTTCAGCCCAGCCCGCAGCTGGAGCAGCATGTCCTGGTGCAACAAGGCTGCCTTTATGCAGGAGCTCCTTTATTTGCCCCGGGGCCAGGAGCTCCAGCTTGGAGCAGTTTCCCAGCACAGAGCACAGTTCCTGGCACACAGCAGGCACTGCAGGGTGTGGGGCGATCCCAATGCTATCCCAATGCTATCCCAATGCTATCCCAATGCTATCCCAATGCTATCCCAGGCTGCCCCATTCCCACCATGCTACACAGCAATGAAATGCAGTGAGTGTCCCGCGGCTGTCAGCGCCGGGTCCTGTTACTGCATAAACACACGCGCTGGGGAGGGGACCGCGGCAAATGCAAACAGTTACTGATTTACTGTTGCTCCGTGCCTCACTGCGTTGTTGACTGTGGGCTTAAATTACCTGGAAATAGATGCTGGCCGAGCAGACAAACAGCTCGTGACCTCAGAGCGGGGACTGCCTGCCCTGAACCCATGCAGCCCCAAGCCCACACGGCTCCAGGATGCTGCAGCCCAAAGCTGTGAGGGCTGCGGGTGCAGTGATGGGGACTCAGCGATGAAGGAGGGACCTATTTCCACCCTCACACTGCAGAGGAGAGGCTCAGCCTGGGCATACATCCAGGATAGGGCTGGGGCCAGGGATGCTCTGGATTCTGCCCAGCAGAGAAGATCCAGCCCCAGCCCTGCAGCTGGGCAGCACCATCACCGTGCAGAGCACTGGATCCCACGCAGTGATCAAATGCACTGAGCCAAACCTGGAGCAGTGAGTGAAGGGCTGAGGCCCCTAAGGTCCCTCAGCATGGTGCTGAGCCGCTCTGCTTCCGTCAGCAAACCCAAAGGAATGAAAACCACTGCTGGTAGCACCTGCAGATGAGCAAGAACTGGTGGAGTGGCAAACAGTGATGAGAGCCAGCAGCCACGTGGGGTGATTAGGATTGCTTGGTCTGCTCAAATACAGCCTGGCTTGGCGCTGCTCAGCACTGCCAGGCACCCAATGCGCAGGCTGCAGGACTGCCTGGTACCATGGAGCAGAGGGCACACAGCCAGAGCACACAGCAGCTCACTGCTTGCCTGCCACCGACCTGAGCACCACTGCATCCCCACGCAGCTCACCAGGGCAGGGGCTGCGCTCATGTGCACGATGGCTGCCAGCCCAGGGACCGGACGGATCCGAGCACAGTTGTCACGTGTGCCACATGAACTGCTGGCCCCAAGCCTGAGCTGACCATTAGAGGGCCTGCCGTGGCTCTGTGCCCCACGGGCTGTGGGCTGGGGGCTCCCGGCATGCCGAGCATGGCGATGCACGGTGCTTGGCTGCTGTTCCTGCCGGGCAAGTTTTCTGTGTAGACGCCTGGGCTCCTCGAGGCTCCCACTTCCTGGTCAGCTGCCAGCAGCGAGCAGATACCTGATACTTGGGGATTGTGCAATGGCAAGAAGGGGGAGCCTGGCCCAGCCAGTTCCTTATGAGCCACCCGGAAGGCAGTCCCCTCCCGCCCCACCTGGAGAGGAGCTTAAAGCCCAGCCGGGTGGCCCCGCACACGCACAGCTCCCCTGCACCATGCCCAAGGCCAGCAGCGCGCTCCTCCTCGCGGGGCTCCTGGTTCTCTGGGCAGAGCTGCTGCCAGCATCCGTCCTGAATGTCACGAGTGAGTATGAGCGCACGGCCCCGCGGCAGCAGCCGGCATCACTCCTGGCCTGGGGCCTGCTGGGGATGGGCTCCAGGCACACGTTCTGCAGCGTGGCTGCTCTCTGCAGCATCCCTGAGCCCACGCCGGGACTGGGAACAGCATCGCCTGCCTCCAGACAACCCTCCCACCCACACCGTGTGCCTTTGCCTTTCAGTAAAAGCCGGCGTGTGCCCGGAGCCAGCAGCAGAAGAAGCGAACTGCACGATGGGGTGCCAGTCCGATGGCGACTGCGAGAGCACCCTCAAGTGCTGCCCGGCGGCCTGTGGCAAGGCCTGCCAGGAGCCCAACGGTAACGCTCCCAGGGTCGGTGCAAGTCTTGTTCCCATGAGCAAATGCCTCCGGGGCTCCCAGCGCTCGGTAGCGGTGTGGTCCTGGGCATCCTCTGTGTTCTGCCTGCAGCACAGTCATGGGGCTCTGCACGGAGCCCCGCAGGATTGGGCTATGCTTCAATGGAGCAGTTGCCCACACAGCCTTGGGTGGTGCTGGCCACACTCACCTCTTCCTCCTGCCTGCAGCTCGGTTGGCTCTGAGCATCCCTGGTGCTGCTGAGATCGCTGCCGGGGGCAGAGAGCACACACCCACTGCACTTCACATTCTTTGGGACGTACCAGCTGCACAATGCATCAGCCCCAGTACTGTCCTGCATCCAGCAATGAGCTCAAGAAGGGTCTCCGAGCAGTGCCCTCTCCGGCTCTGCACCAGGCATGGCCCCACAGCCGCTCTGCTGCAGGGTGCTCACCACACTCAGCTTCAGGAGCTGCAGCACAGCCCTGCACACCTTGCTGGGACAGCGGATCTCACGCCATGTCCTTCGCCTTGCAGAGAAACCTGGCACCTGCCCGTCCGTGAAGCCAGGGATCCCCATGCTGGGGCTCTGCATTAACCAGTGCAAGATGGACTCCAACTGCTCTGGGAGCCTGAAGTGCTGCAGGAATGGCTGCGGGAAGGTCTCCTGTGTGACTCCACTGTACTGAGGTCAGTCAGCACTCACCCAGCCCCGGGCTCCTGTCCCACTTGCCCCATCCTGCTCACAGCCCTCTGCTCCCTTTGCAGGTGCAGCCTCCTTCATCCCAGCTGTAGGGAAGCTGCTGCCCAATGTGACGCTGCATGGCCAGGCCCTGATGCCCTCCTGCCCCGGCCTTGTCTGGGACCCCAGCATGGAGCCTTCAGCCTCAACTCCCATCCGAGGGCCCCGCTCGGGGTGTGCCACAGCCCCCTGCACTCTCGCCAATAAAGCAGCCACTCCCTGCCCTGTTTTTGGCCGCGTCTCCATCCTGATGCGCTTCCAGCTGCACTCTGCAGTGCACTCAGTGTGCCCAAATGGCTGCTGGAGCAGGCAGTGTCTAGAAGGGTCTGCACCAGACAAATGCCCACCCCAAGCCAGCACCGTTCCTGCAGTGCTGATCCCAGGCCCCATTTCCCCAAGGCTCCCCAGCCCATGCTCCTGCTCAGTGCTGTCCCAGTCTCAGCTGCTGTGACATTGGCTCCTCAGCCAGTTAAGGGATGTGCTCCAACTGGGGCCTGATATGCAGTTGCAGCTGCGTCCATGGAGCTGAGTTCTGTGATGGCCTAGGGGGACAACAATGCTGCTGCTGCTGCGTGCAATGGCACAGCATTTCTCAAAGCACCCCCTGCACTACACACTCCCAGCCCACCAGCAGCACAGCGCCCATGGCAGCTGCTTGAGGGAGCTGTGGGCAACGAAGCCTGCATGTCCCTGCCCCATCCCTGCCCACCCTGCTCGGACCCAGCCCTTGCTCTTGCTGCTCTTCCACTCTTCCCAAGAGCCCCACAGCTCCCAGAGGTAACGTGAGCTGAGGAACCCCAAGGGCCACAGCAAACGGTCCCTTGGACCTCTGAAGGCCCTTCTGGAGGATTACATAGAGCACAGCTGAGCCAGGCACACACAACCACCCTGCAGCCTGCCCCATACAGCCTGGTGCCTGCAGCATGGATGTGTCCCCACTCACATCCCACCAAGGCCCTGCAGCATCGCTCCCCACTCCATGCATGCTAGGAGGTGATGCTGATGATTCCTGGGCAGAATGGGGTGGGCTCTGGGAAGCAGTGATGGGATGCACAGGCTCACCAGGCTCTCCCAGGTGCCCACATTGGGGAGCACAGGGAGCAGGGTTGGGGAGCACCTCCCACATCCCCTGGCCTGGCTGTTTGCGGGTCACTGGTGACCTGGAAAGGGAGCGCTGCAGGGGATGCGCCAGCCACGGGCTGAGAGCCCAGCACTGCTCTGGGAGTCTCCCTCGAAACGAATTGTTTGTGCTCAGTGCTCCCACAGCCCTGGAAACATGTGCTGCCATGGGCTGGTGCCCCCCAGCAGACTTAAATACCCACTGGCAGTCGCAGTGCCACAGCAGCCCCAACAGCACGATGCCCAGCACCGGTGCCCTCGCGCTGCTGCTCCTGGCCCTGCCTCTGCCGCTTGCCCCAGCCCAGCAGCACCGTGGGGATCGCGGCGATGGCCCCGCTGCCAGCCCCCCACCACGCCGGGCACACAGGGGCCAGCGGCCACCAGCCGCCCTCCCTGCCCCCAGCAAAGCAGGAGTGTGCCCGGCAGTGGGGAGCAGCCCCACGCGCCCCACCAGGAGGTACTGCTTGTCTGACCACAGCTGCCCCGGCGCTGAGAAGTGCTGCCTTCTCCGGGATGTGCGCGCCTGCATGCTGCCTACTGCAGGTACGGGGAGCTGTGGAGCTGCTGGTGCTGGACAGGGGATGGGTGCCACGGGGCGAGCTGTGCTCCCCAGCACACAGCACTGCTTCCCTCACAGAGAGCCTGGGCAGCCCTGTGGGGGTGAGCTGTGGGGTGAGCTGCTGCAATGAGACTGCGTGTGGCCATGGGGAGAGGTGCTGCGCCCGCTGCATGAGAGTTGAGCCAGGTAAGGTTGCCCGAGTCGGGGGGCTGTGCTTGTGTTGGGCTAGAGGTGCAGTAGGGCAGAGCCATGGGTTGGCAATTTTGTCATTGTGAGAGCAGTGCATCACTGAGCATCTGAGCTGCACCCTGAGCCCCCTGTCCTCTCCAGCCAAATCCGGCCTTTGCCCACGGAAGCGAGCCCGGCGTGATGCTGCCTGCCCCAACCTGTGCACCGATGACAGGGACTGCCCCGGGGACCAGAAGTGCTGTTTCTCTGGCTGCGGGCTGACCTGCACTACCCCGTACACAGGTACCTGCTGCCCCCATCCCCACTCCTCTCCGGGCGTGCATCCTCCATGGGTGTGCACACCCCATGCACGCCTGTGCACTTCCCATGCATGCCACAGGCGCAGGATGGGGGCAGGATGGAGGCCAGAGGGGAGCTGGGGCAGAGGCACGCTGCAACCCTAAGCCATGCACAAGGCACAAGTTCCCAATGCAGCCAAGCTCCCATGGGCACAGTGGGGCTGTGATGCTCAGGGCTGTGATGCTCAGGGCTGCTCTCTTGCAGCAAAGTCTGGTGCGTGCCCCGTGGTGCTGCGAGGCTCCCTGGGCCCCTGCCTGGATCGGTGTGACAGCGATGCTGACTGTCCTGGGGCCAAGAAGTGCTGCACCACTGGCTGCGGCCACGTCTGCAAACTGCCCACCGAGGGTAAAAGCTTTGAGCCATGGGGCAGAAATCGTGCCACGTTCCCCCATCCCCTCCCTGGCTGAGCACCCTCCCTGCAGGGCCAGTGCCCCTTTGCCCTGGAACACTGTGCCCCTTCGGGGGCCGGTGGGGGCTTGGGGAAGCGGCAGCAGCCAAGGCCAGGGGCTCACCACACCGTTCCCTCTCTCTGCACGTGCACAGTGCGCCCGGGGCTCTGTCCTGCCACAACCACCAGGGCTGGTGAGTGCCTCATCCTATGCCTGGAGGACAAGGACTGTCCACCCAGCCAGAAGTGCTGCCTGCAGGACTGCGGTCGCACATGCGTTCCCCCACTGCAGGGTAAGACGAACCCCACACCCTGCCTGCAAGGGACGGCACAGGATGGAGCACTCATCCTGCTCTGACCACCACATCCATCTCTTCCAGGCACAGCCTAGCCCTGGCTGTGGGGGTGGCTCTGGGAGCTGCCATTTTAGGGCCATTCCACCCCACTGCCGTTGCAGCACCCACTGCCCCACTGCTCTCATCCCTCTGGCAGCATCTCTGGCTGGGGCGATAAGCAATGTTTGACTCTGGCTGAAGTCTCTGCCACCTCCCACAGCTGTGCTCCAGGGACAAAGGCAAACCCCCACATCCAGCCCCTCTGCACAAGCCAGCCTGTGCATGGCATGGACACCCCCAGTCTACCTGGAAACGTGGACCCAGAATAAACCAGCATGTGGCAGCCGGGCTGCAGTGAGTGCTTTCTGTTGCCTGCAGTTTGCTGGGGGTTTTCCATGGTGCAGGCACTGTGGGTGGACACGTGGCTGCAGGCAGCCCCGGGGCAGGGAGAGGAGGCCCTGTTTCCATGCTGTGCCCCCCAGGCACCACCACAACACTGTCAGGGTCCTGCGGAAACACTGCTGCTGTCCCAACAGGAGTGCCAGAAACCTGTTGACTCAGATTCCTTGCACCAAGAAAGGGTTTATTTGCATCCCAAAGTGTGAAACTCAGGTTGGAAGCACAGTCAGGGGCAGATGGAGCACACCCTGGGGACAGGGAGAGGAGCAGCGCCTTCGTGCTGGGAGCCATGCAGCTCCACTCCTTCCTATCCTGATTGAACCCATTACTGTGCTCCATCCTGGGGGCTGTCCAGGCTCTGCTGTGCAGTACTGCAGGGATGGTGCCTGTGTGACCTTTGCTGCCCTGTCCCTGTCCCTGCCCCATCCCCATGGGTCATCCTGACCCAAAAGCGCAGTGAGGCCGGAGATAAGCAGCCGGCTGGCAGGGCGCCTGCGGTTCTGGGAACGATCCCTCCTCCTGTTCTCTGCCCGCTCCCCACCGCTTGTGCTGCAGCACCCCTGGCAGCTCCGCCGGAGACTTTAAACCCAGTACTGCCTCAGCTGTGGGCACGCAGCATCCCCGCAGCACCATGTGCCTGGGACTTTGCCTCCTCCTGGGGCTGCTCCTTGGGATGGAGCAGAGCACTGCACTGGGTGAGGAAGATGGTAAGTACCTGCAGGGGGGTCTGAGCCAGCTCTGTCCAGGAGCACCCGTGTGCATCTCCTGCCCCGGGATCCCTCGGTGCTGGCACTTCTGAGCTGGGACATTGCTATTCTCTGCTGCTCTCACAGGGCCCAGCACCAGGGATGCTGGGTAGGGCCAGGGGCTGCGCGGGGGCTGTGCAGGGCAGCAGTTGGGTGCTGTGCACACAGTGCTGCTGTGGGGTCTCAGGGCTGACAGCTGCTCTCAGCCTCTCCCTTGCAGCCCTGGATCAGTTTCCTCCTCAGACCATACCTCCCTTCCTCAGCCCTGCATGTAGCACCTGACTCATGCAGATCCATCCAGATGGGTGCTGCCCAGAGAGGTGCTGGATTCCCCTTCTCTTGGAGATATCCAAGATATCCAAGACCTGTCTGGACACCTATCAATGTGACCTCCTATGGGGAACTTGTTTTAACAGCGGGTTGGGCTCGATGACCTCTAGAGTTCCCTTCCAACCCCTACAATTCTGTGATTCTGTGATCCTCTGATCCAACCCCGTGACCCAATGGGTAGCACAGTGGGCACACACCATTGAGTGCCCCGTCCCACCCTGCGTGGGACAAAGCTGCACCAGAGCAGCCCAGCTCTGCACTACTGCCGCCTCCGCAGCGATGGGAGCTTTCCTTTGTTTGAGTGGAACAGCTGCTGTTTGCAGTGAAACCTTCCCAGCAGTGTCTCTGTTTGCAACTCAAACAGCACAGAGCTGCCAAGAGCTCTGGCGACGGGTGTTTGCAGAAGGGGTGCTCCCATGGCATCCCTCGGCTCAGCACAGGAACAGCAGCCTCAGCTGTGGGCCAGGGGGATTCCCAGCTGCAGGGAGAGCGCAGTGCCCCGAGCTCCCCACTCAGATGTTCCCACTCCCCAGCCCACGCCGGCGTTTGCCCCCAACCCTCATCTCAGCCCCAGCGCATGCCGTGTCCCAGCGCCTGTGATGACGACAGAGGGTGCCTGCAGGACCAGAAGTGCTGCTTCACTGCCTGCGGCTTCATCTGTGTGACACCGCTGGGGAATGGCAGCAGTGACCTCCCTCCTCCTGGAGAGATGGACTGGAGCCTCAGCCAGGCTGAGAACACGCACCAGGGTGATGCAAAGAGGATGAGCTTCATGCCAGGGGGCTGCACAGGGAGGGGAGAGGCCACAGGGCAGGGGTGCACGTAGCATTGGAGTGCACGTGGCAGGGAGGGGTGCAGTGGGTTGCAGAGGCTGCAGCCATCCCCTCCACAGGCAGGGCGATGCTGGGTGCTGCCCTGACTCCACATCCCGCTACAGGGGAGCTGCAAAAACCAGGTCTGTGTCCCCGGGACTTCACACGCTGCCTCCATCAGGAGCCCCCTCTCTGCACCAACGACTCAGCGTGTCCCGGTTGGCTCAAGTGCTGTTCCCACGAGTGCCGCCTCCGCTGCACACCCCCGGCAGAAGGTATGGCCCCACTGCACAGCCTCAGCACCACCACCAGCACCCCTTGTCCACCAGCCCCATCCCTGTCCTTGTCCTGTCCCCATTACCCAGAGCAGCTCCAGCACCACTTGTGGCTCCCATCTCCCAAGACTGGGATGGGGCAGGTGAGGGCATCTGGAATGGGGCGTGGGAGGTCCGAGACACAGCAGGGGGAGCTGTGGGATGTGACACAGGGAGGGCCACAAGGGCAGATTAACCGGTGCTACCGCTGGTGCCCTCGGGGCGCACCTCACCCCCAGCCATGCCAATCGGTGTTGCAGAGAAGCCCGGTGCCTGCCCCGCTGCCGCCCCAGAGGGGCTCTTTTACCCCTGCTCCTTTCGGTGTCAGGAGGACAAAGACTGCCTGGGCAGCCAGAAGTGCTGCCCGCTGGGCTGCGGCGCAGCCTGCGTGGAGCCGGCGCAGGGTAAGGCCTCCGTGTGCCACTGGAGCCACGTGCACGGGGACAGCCACGGCTCCGCGGGGCGCTCAGGGCTGTGCTGCAGACATCTGCCATCTCCCCGCCATGCCGGGGCCCTGCGGCGGCCACGAGCTGAGCTTCTTCTACAATGTCACCTCCGGGCGCTGCGAGACGTTCCCCTACAGCGGCTGCGGGGGCAACGCCAACCGCTTCGGGACGCGGGCAGCGTGCCGCCGGGCGTGCCTGAGCCACGGTGAGGGCACGGAGCTCCGGGAGTCGGGGGCAATGCGATGTCCCCCGGTCCCCAGCGGTGCTCAGGGCTGCTTCTGATTGCTCTGCTCCACCAGAGAAACCCAAAACCGGGGAGTGTCCCGTGGTGCTGCCGGAGCTGGAGGGGCCGTGCCGGGAGGAGTGCGATGGTGACAGCGACTGCCCCAACGCGCTGAAGTGCTGCAACAGCAGCTGCGGCCTCCAGTGCCTGCCTGCAGCGCCAGCCCGTGAGACGGGGTGGGACGGGTGGGACGTGGTTACAGGCGGGGCCACGGCCTGGGGACAAGGGGTGCCCACAGCACCCACCACAGGCAGAGAGGGGCAGGGTTGGGAGCAGCGCACACAGCAGCAGGGATGTGGTGGGGACACTGAAGACACCCTGCAGTTGGTCCATCCCACTCTCACCTCCAACACAGTGACCCCACCATCCAAGCTCTGCTCTGCAGTTCAGCTCTGCCGCCTGGAGCCACACCAACAGCAGAGCTGCCAGCCTGGGCACAGCGAGTGCAGCTGGGAGCAAGGGGATGATGGATGGGGGATCACCTTGCAGGATAGGAGGCCCCAACATGGAGGGATGCAGTGATGGATCAGGCAATGCACCCTGCCCATGTGCTCTGGGATGTGTCCCCATGGGGCTGCTGCACTGCAGTGGGACCCACTTCACCCCACATCATGACCAGCAGGGAAGGATGGATTCTGCCCGGCCAGTGCTGGGCTGTTCCCCAGCTACGACTGCAGAGAGTGGTGCCGGCGTGACTCTGACTGCCCCGGTGAGGAGAAGTGTTGCCTGCAGGGCTGTGACTACGTGTGCCTGCGCCCGGCCCAAGGTTGGAGCCACTGAACAGCCCCCCCAGGGCATCTGTAGTGATGCCCAGCCATCCCCAGCTGCACATCTCCTGCCTTCCAGAGAAACCAGGGATCTGCCCCCTGAGCAAGCAGGCAGCGGGATCCCAGTGCCAGGACCCCTGTGCAGGAGACGAGCAGTGCCCAGGAGATGAGAAGTGCTGCAGCAGTCGATGCGGTCACACCTGCATGGCCCCAGAGCCAGGTGAGGGGGCAGGATGGGGCCGTGCCTGCAGTGCCTCACACAGCCGGGCTCAGTGCCCAGCCTCTTGCAGCTTGTGGAAGGCACAGCCACAGCTGGGTGCACAGAGGGCACATAGGATGCTACCAGAGTGCCCCCAAGGTGCCAAGACTGCCATGCCTGCAGCCCAGTCCCTGCGGGCGAGCCTGTGGCCCTGCTACCCCTTCTCTTCCTTTTCTCAGACAAACCTGGGCAGTGCCCAAAGGTGAGGCTGCAGCTGACATCAGAGCCATGCACGGAGGAGGATGACTGCCTGCACGACAGGGACTGCCCCAGACAGGAGAAGTGCTGCTTTTCTGGCTGCGCCATGCGCTGCTCCCGCCCAGCCAGAGGTGAGGGCAGGCAGTTGGGCCTCAGCTGCACCATGGGCAAGGAGCAGCAGTGGCAGCAGTGCTGGCAGTGTGGGGAACCCCTCGCACTCAGCCGCAGCCCCTCCTCTCACAGAACACCCTGGGCAGTGCCCCCGGGCAGAGCCTTGCTGGGACCCCCGGCGCCGACGCAGGAACCAATGCCTAGATGACAGCGTGTGCAGGAGGGATGAGAAGTGCTGCAACACAGGATGCACTTGGGGCTGCGTGGCTGTACCCAGAGGTAGTGGGGAGCAGCTGGGCAGAGGGGAGCAGCCACCTTCTCTGGGGACAAATGGTGACCGCAGGTGGCTGTGCCCGCAGAGAGCAGCGGTGGTGCCTCCAGACAGTGCGCAGAGGAGTGTGAGACTGATGCACAGTGCCCCCAGGGACAGCGGTGCACCCACATGGGCTGCAGCCATGTCTGCGTGGACATCCCTGGGGGTGAGCACTATCTAAGTGCCCGGGAACCACAGGGTGCCCACGGGTGGGTGTCCCATGAATGGGTGCCCATGGATGAGTGCCCACAGGTGGGAGTCCTGCAGCACATGCTCTGCCTTGCAGGGAGAGTGGGAGTGTGCCCCATCCCCAGGGAGGCCGGGACATGCTTGGACCTGTGCAGCTTGGATGAGGAGTGTCCCTGGGGCCAGAAGTGCTGCAGCAATGGCTGTAGCAATGTCTGCATGCCTGCCTCTCTCAAAGGTGAGCCCCTGGGCTGGGATGTCAGCCAGCAGCAGGGACAGAGATGGGGTCTGCTGTGCTCTGAGCCCACAGCGGCACCGTGGCCGTCCTGCACCAATAGGGACCTCACAACAGAGCTCTGTGCTGGGGCTGCCAAGGCTGTGCCTGCTCTGGCCCTGTATCCACTCACCCCCTTGTCCACTGTGCCTTCCCCTCTTTCTACCCAAGTAACAAACATGCCCAGCCCCAGCTCAGCACCAGGTGAGTGTCCTCTCCTGCCACAGAGCACGATGTTGCCGTTGTGCCACAGCACGGTGCCAGCCGGTGCCCAGAGCAGTGTGATGCCGACTCGCAGTGCCCACGAGGACAGAGATGCACCCGCACCAGCTGTGGCCATGTCTGCATGGACATGCCTAGAGGTGAGAACCGCGGTCCAGCCCTGTCCCCTGATGGCAGGGTACTCCATGGTGGGTGCCCACAGATGGGTGCCCCACAGAGCGTTCTGCCTTGCAGGAAGGGAGGGAGAGTGCCCCATCCCCAGGGGCGGCGGGACGTGCTTGGACCTGTGCAGCTCTGACAAGGGGTGTCCCCAGGGCCAGAAGTGCTGCAGCAATGGCTGTGGCCATGTCTGTACGCAGATACCTGGCGGTGAGGAGACTGAGGGACGGGACCAGATCCAGGGGACACAAGGGAACTTCAGGCCCTCAGGGGAGGCAGAGCCTTCTGGAAAGGGGCTCAGTCCATCTGGTCCAGGCTCTGCTCCTGGCACAGACACTGACCTTAGGGTGAGGGCACCCAAAGGGATGAGGAGCAGAAGGGATCTCTCACCAGACCTGGCCATGCTAAACCAGCAGCACTTGTCCACAACCTTGGCCACTGCTCCTCATCCCCATCAGTCAGACCTCCCTAAAAGCACATTTCCCTTCCAGGCGCTGCATGATGTGAGAACAGCAGCTCTGTGGCAGGAAGGTGCCTTCCTTCATCTGGGGACACAGGACATTGACAGCCCCGAGCTGGACTGTCCCCTTCTCGCCACCACCGGCAATAAAGCGAGTGCATGCCATCTCCAGCTGCCTCTGAGTCTCTGTGTTGCAGGGCCCAGCTCCCATATTGCCCAGGGAGGACACAGGTTGGGGTCCCCCTCACCAGCACCAAGCAGGGGGTCTGCGCAGCACGCGTGGGGCTGCAGGGGTTCAGCAATGCAGGGTGAGCACAGCCCTGAGGCCAGGGGTAGCTCTGGGACCCCCATCAAAGTGGGGATGTTTCGCCATCGCTTTAGGACCTGGCCAGGTCACATCTGCAGCTTGAGGGCAGAACCAGGAGTGGAAACCAATTTAGATGTAAGCAGGAGCTGTGCTGGGATGGCTGGATCCGAGACCTGGGGCAGGAAGGACAGGAGCCAGACCTGCTCAATGACCCGTCCTTGTATTGACAGCAGCACGGCTCCTGGCAGGGCTGGGCTCCTCCAGGCAGGGCACAGCACAGAGGGGCAGCCGGGTTGTTGCTGGTACCTCAGCCCTGTGCCATGCTTCCCGGGCAAGCCACGGCCCCAGCACGGCCACTGTGACCACCACCCAGCCATGGGGACAGGGATATCTGCCCAGGCTGGGGTCGTGCACGGCGGGGAGGTGTTACTGGGCACCCGGAGCTGAGAGGTGTGGGGCTGGGAGCAGGGCTGCGGGGAGCGTCTCCCCACGGGGCAGGGGCCGGGGGGAGCCCCGCTGGCGTGGCTGGGAGCGCAGGTGGGAGCAGGCCTGGGAGCACTCCCGCTCGGTCTCAAAGTTGTTCCTGTTCCCACCGCAGCCGCCGTAAATGAACTCCTCGCATTGCTGGCTGGACGCGTTGTAGAAGAAGCGGATGAAGAGCGCCTTGCAGTTCCCGCAGACCGAGGGCAGGTAGCAGAAGTCTGGGCAGTCCCAAGGGCTGAAGTGAGCCGAGGACAAGGCTCAAGGGGAGAGCGCTCCGGGTCCCCGTGGCACCGAACCCCTCCCTGCCCAGAGCCAGGTCTGCACCCACCTCCCCAGGAAACCACATCCCTCACCCCTGGCGCAGGCAGAGCTCAGGGATGGCAACTGTGAGCCCCCTCCCACCGCTCCAAGCTCACCCCCCCCCCTCACCGAGACCCCCACACACTGCACACCGCCGGCCCTCACCGAGCACCGGTTGCTGGCACGTGTGGCCGCACTTGCCGGGGCAGCACTTGGTGGCACCAGGACAGTCGGAGTCGCCAGCACAGTGGGAACAGGAGGCGTTCTTGTGGCACGAGCTGCAGTCCTGGTCCAGAGGGCTCTCCACCTCCGAGATGTGGTGACAATACCCGGGCTTTGCTGAGGGACACAGTGACCAGGGCTGAACAGCCTCATAGGTCAGACCTCACAGCCCCCACCCCCACAGCCCCACTGCTGCTTGCACCAATTGGGCTCCCTGAGCATCCCCTCCTCAGGAAGTGCCCCCACACACTCACCTGTCCCCATCTGCTCCTCTCTTCCAGGCACGTGTGGGGCCGGGACTGACCGTGCAGAAATGGGGAGCAAGAGGAGGAGGAGGAGGAGGAGACAGGCTTGCTCCATGGTGCCCACGGCTGCCGGCTCTGCGCCCCAGGTGTGGTGGGCTGGGATTTAAGGTGCGTCGGCAGGGCGGACGGTATGGGGCTGGCGCCGCAGCACTGCTAATTCCTGCCGTGCGGGTAACGAGCCGCACCCAGCGGGCCCGGCTTCCTCGGCGACATCTCGGCCACAGCCCTAAAGCTGGGGGGACTGGTAGGACGGGAAGGATGTCCTAGTGCAGCCCTCAGGGTGCCCAGCAGCATGCTGAGGCTGTGGTGGGATGGGGAGGGGAGGGGGAATGGGAGAGGAGGGGGAATGGGATGGGATGGGATGGGATGGGATGGGATGGGATGGGATGGGATGGGATGGGATGGGATGGGAAGGGGAGTGGGAATGGGAATGGGAACGGGAATGGGAACGGGAACAGGAATGGGAATGGGAACGGGAACGGGAATGGGGAAGGGGGTGGAAATTGGGATGGAATTGGGATGGGGACACTGCCCCCCACCTGCTTGCAGCTCCTTGCAGCCCTGGCGCAGACACCAACAGGACAGACCTGGGGCGGTGCACACACCCCAGCACCCAGCAGCACCTGGTGCACGTGGGTGTGCGTGAGGTGAAACCAGCAGAGGCAGAGAGAAGCAGATTAAGTTCTTCCCATTCAGCAGGAATAATTGTCTTCCTAATTACTGTTGTAATTACTGTCCCATGGGGAAGTCAAGGAAGAGGAAAGCTCTGCGGGGAGAGGCAGGAAAGTTGGACCCAGGTGAGGTCCAGAGGGAGGTGCCACCCACATGCCTCTGCCCCATTGCAGCTTTCCCCCAAATCTCAGAGGACTGAGACCCCCAGCAATGTCTGGGCACAGGATACCAGAGAAGTGGCACAGGCTGGGGATGGGATGGCCCCCACCTCCCCACCACTACAGCTCAGCCCACGCCTCTCCCACTATCCTGGGCTATCTGAGAAATCCCCCAGTTGCACAGGACCTTCCAGCCCAGCACCCAGCAGGAGGGCAGGGCCACAGAACCAAAATCCACAGGGCTACAATTTTCCACCACTATCTCTCTGCAGTACCTTACCTACCCAGGCAGTCATTACAACCACCGACATCATATTCCAGAATGGCCTCCTCTGTCCAGTGGGCCGAGTGGGGGACGTTGGGGCTCACAGCACCGGGGGGCTCTGGGCAGGGAGAAGTTGGGAACCACACAGGGGAATGCCCAGAGCTGCAGAGCTGCACGGACAGCCCCATCCTGCCCTGCCCTGGGGACACTCGGCCTGACTCACAGCAGTGCTGGCAGACCTCCACCTTAGCAGAAATAGCGATCGGGCCAGCTCAGAGAGCACCCAGGAATGTGGCACCTCCCAGGGTGGCAGGAACCAGGCCACAGGGCTGTGCCACCCTGGGCATGGCAGGGCAGAGCCAAGGGCAGAGTGGGTGCTGCAGTGCAGCAACGCCCGCTGGCCCCGCACTGAACCCATCAGCACCGACTCTCCCTGAGGAGGACACAAGTGGGGAGGGTCTGTCCCCATAGCCCACACTGGGCAGGGGCGAGGAGCAGTGTCATTGCACCCAGCTGCTCCCCTTCCCACAGCAAACGTGCAGTTGTGCATGCAGGCAGCTCAGACAGCACACGTGTGTGCACGGTTCATTGGGCACACAGCACATAAGCAGCTCGGGCTGTGCACATGCGTGTATGTGCTTACAGAGCGTGGCTTGCACGCTCACACACGTGCCCAGCTGGCATCGCACACGCACACACGCACGTGCCAGCAGCCTGCCTGCACAGCCTGACACAGCAATCCTGCTGCCAGCACCTGGTGCTGCAGGGGAAGCCCCAGCACTGCCATGCCCACACTTTGTGTCCTGCATATGGCGGAGCAGCAGCTCCTGGGACAGCATGGCTGCAGTGCTGGGGGGCTTCAGTGGGAAGAGCCGGGACCTGAGCTGTCACAGGGCTTGAGGCACAGTCAGAACTGTGGTGAGGATGGAGTAGGAGGTGAGAGGCAGCTCCGGCAGTGTGACAGGCACTCAGGCCCCCATCCTGGCTTCCCACATCGTTTCCAATCCCCATCCTCAGCACTGGGACCCGCCGGCACCCCAGAGTGAGGTGCTGGTGGCCACCAGCTGAGCTCAGCCCCCAGCCACAGAGCCAAGCTCGGGCAAAACGAGGCTATGGACCATGTCCAGTCACAGGACGTCCCTCAGGAGCCAGCAATTGTTCCTGGTGGCAGAACAATGCCCTGAGAGCTGCCAGGGCACCACGGGCTGCTCCACACCGCCTGGCCCAGGAGCCTCCTCCACCTGCCCTGCAGTGCCCAGCCCCAAGTGGGGTCCCCAGCCCCGCTGCCCACCTGGCCCCATACTCATCCCTGGCATGCTGGGTGCTGCAGCACATCATGGCACAGCTCAGTTCTTGGGGTTACTCAGGGCCCAAAGCAAAGCAGCCACCCCCTATCCCCTACCTCCATGCTCCCTGCCTGCTGTGTCCAGCAGCACCAGCCCCTGGATGTGAGGGTCACGCTTGGACGAAGCTGTGGCAGGGACACGGTCATTGGCACCAGCCCCTGTCCTGGGGAGGATTTAAAGCCCTGCCTGTACTCGACGTGGCCCCAACACTGCCATCCCTGCATCATGCGGGTGCTGTCGCTGCTGCTGCTGCTGGGGCTCTGCTGTCTCTGGGCCCGGCTGGTGGCTGCAGGTGAGTTTGGGACGGGGCTACAGGGAGGGCCTGGGATGCTGTGTCCCTACAGCAGAGAACACCCTTGCACCATGGCCAGCAAACTCGGGGATGGCCCAGTGTGCCAAAGGCTTAGGGTGCTCCTATCCCTCCCCAGGGTTCACCTAGCCTCTGTTTGGACCTGGACCAAGGACCCCACTTGTGCAGCCTCGTGTCAGATAGCCGGGCAGCCGGACATGGACTCATCCATCGACTGCAGAGCGAGCACCCATCATCCCCCACCCCAAATCCACCCCTCTACCCTCAGCTCAGAACTGGGCATGGGGGTCTCTGTGCTTCTTCCTTACTATTAAAGCCCATCTGCAATGAGCTCTGCTGGTTCCTGCAGTGTCAGTCTCCTGGTGAACCCTGGTTGTACCCCCAGCCCCTGTGGGAGAAAAGTGCCATGGCAGCCAGCTGGTTCTGAGGCCAGCACACACGTCCTGCCCGGAGCCCTCACGCCAGGCTGCTCACCCAGGCTGTGACGTGTCAGGGCCATCTCTGGGTTTATGGAAGAAGCTGGGAATGGTACATCCATTGCAAGCTCCCAGATGGCTTGGAGATGCCAGGCACTGTGACAAGGGACAGCTTGTAGAGTTGAACAAGTGGCCCACTTTGGGATTTATTAGGAAATAGAAGGTCCTGCCCAAAACAGTGCTGGTGTTCAGGACTGGCCCTGGCAGAATGAGGTGAAGGGAGGTTGGGGGCAGCTCCGTGTGCCCACCTGCCCTGGGCTGTCCTCACACCTTGTGCCCTGCACACACCCTGCAGTGCTGGTCACCGAGCATCACTGGGGCAACTGCTGCCAGCATTGCTGCCATCTTCACCACTGTAATCTTCAGTCATCACTGTCACCGTATCCATCGTCATCTCCATAGTCATTCTCATCATTTCCACCATAGTCATCACTGCCATCATTACCACCACCATTATTGTCATCATCATAGCCCTCGTCATCATTGTAGCCATAGTAATAATCATGGTCATCGTCCTCCTCATCCTCATCCCTTTTTTTCTCATCAACATCGTCATCACTGTCATCGTCATCATCGTCGTCATCACTGTCATCACCCTCCTCACCGTCTCCATGTTCGGACTTCGGTTTCTCTCCCGACTCGGGTTTCTCCCCACTCTCCTGCTTCCCCCCAGCCTCTGGTTTTCCCCCCACCTCCGGCTTCTCCCCCAGCACGGGTTTCTCTGCACTCTCTGGCTTTCCTCCAGTCCCTGGCTTTTTCCCACTCTCAGTTTTCCCTCCACTCTCCAATTTCCCCCCACCTCCACTCCCCGGTTTTGCCATTGCTCCTGGCGTTATCTTTGGTTTTTCCCCCGCCCCACCCTTCCCCTCACACCCTGGCTTCTTCCCCACGCTGGGTTTCTTTGTGATCTCTTGCTTTTCCCTCGCTGTAGGTGTGCTGCCCGCTGTTGGCTTCTCCCTGCTCCCTTCTCCACTCTCAGGCTCAGGTTTCACCGCCGGCCGCTCCTCATGCAGGTGCTGCTCTGCACTGCCCTGCTCTGCCCCCGGCTGCTGCTGCACAGATGGGCTCTGGGCGCCGTGGTGCTGACAGCACCGGGTGTCTGCTGGCACCGCCACCGGCGGCTGGGTCACAGGGAGTATGGTTGCTGCTCCGTGCAGCCCTGGGCTACACCTTCCTGATGGAGGAAATGGAGAAAGATGAAACACCCACGGCAGCAAGTTCTTAGCAAAATGAAATGAAGATGCCGCATATTATTTAACCAGGGCATAAATAAGGCACTGAGCATAGTTGTGAAGCAAGGGCACACGGTTTTTTGTTAAGCAATAGCAAGAAAACACACAGAAATAGCACAGCACACTGCTGACATACATTGCCTGCCTCACAGCTCCTCTCTAAAATGGAATGGGACCAAAACATTAGGAAGGAAGGCATCACAGCCACTGACAGCTGGCAAGCCGAAAGGCTTCAAGTCACTACTTATCCGAGACCTAAAGAAATTCAAGTTTCTAAAGGAGAGCACTTAGGAGATAATGAAGGTATTTCTGGAGACACATTTTCATCGCAGTGCAACGGCCCCAGCGCCTCTTTGCAGAGCAGCAGCACGTCTGGCTGACACTGAGCAGTTACTGCCTGCTAGTCTGAGCTTAAACATCAAACAGCCCAACTTGTAGTGAGCTGCAAGCTGAGTGCTCTGGAAGAGGAGACGGGCAGAATTTTAAACACTGCTCTAAAATCAGCTTGCTGCTCATACAGAAAGAAATGTGATTTCCATTTCTTTGAAAGTTGGCCATTTTTCTTGAGGGAAAAAGAAAAGTAAGGAGGAAAAATGATTCTTTCATGGGAATTTCCCCTCTTGCAAATGCACTCGCAGGCTGAAAGCCTCGGAGGGGTTGCTGGGAGCATGGCTGGAACGTGCATATAGTCCATGGCACAGGTCGGGGTGAAGGAAGCACCTCCCCAGCACTGCGGCTGCGTGCCGGTGCCACTGCGGGCTCTGTCCTCAGCGGGGCTCAGCCTCGAGGCAAAGAACCCCCTTGGCACCAGCCCTATCCGGACAGAGCCGGGCTGCATCCTCCAGAGCTCCGGGTATGGGGAGCCCCGGTCCCAGCCAACAGCGCCGGAAAAGCAGCGTCAGAAGGAAGTAACAGAAAGCAAGAGAAGCGTCTGCAGCCGGGGTGCTCTGAACCGAACTTGCATGGCATTTAGAGTTGTGCAGAACCCGAAGCTTAGGTGGTCTGAACACACAGAAAGTGCTCAGACACAAAGAGCAAAGCAGAGCCATCCGCACAGCGCGCCTCACCGACCTCGCAGCGCCGCCCTGGCCGCGGGGCCGTGCTCACCTGCAGCGGGCGCGGCGTGCAGCGGGGCGCCGAGGGCCAGCAGCCCGAGCAGGAGCCAACCGCCCGCCCTCATGCTGCCACCACCCTGCCCGCCCGGCGCAGCGCCGGGATTTAAGAGAGAGGCGGCCCCGGGCACCTCCCACGTCCTGCGTGCACCGTGGGACACCAGCAGCAGCGGGACGGGAGGAGACGCCGGAACACCGGACTGCGGTCAGCCCTCCTCGAGGTTCCCTTTGCTCCGCTTCTCGGCCCATAAACTCTTAATGGGCGCTCGTGACGTCAAAGAGCTTCGTTCACCCCCGGGGGCACTTTCCCAGTTCCACGAGCTTGTGAAGGAGCTGCAGGGAGGGGATAACCCTCCCTCCATCGCCCTGGAGGAGCTCAGCTCCACTTATGCAGGGTTGAATATCAGTGTACTTTAAAACCAGAGGGAATAAATGTCTCCTGTCAGACAGAACGCAGAGCACTACAGTGCTACGTGGAGGAGAGCTGCCCAAGGCAGGCACTGCAGCTCAGCTCCACGCTGCCAGCCCCTGTCCTGGGCTTGTACTGAGAGTGAACAAAGAATTCAGTGTGCCACCATGTTTGTGTCTCTTTGCCCTGCACAAATAACATCTCTACCACTGCAAGTGCACACCACTCTGAAAACTCAGAAGGCAAAGCTCCTGCTCCAGAAAGCTTCATCCAAATGGTGGCAAAAGCCACACATGGGCAGCACGGGGGCCATGTGCTCAGCAGTGGGAAGGTGCAGGGCCTGCATGCCACCAAACCTGCGTGGGAAGAAGGCTTACTGCAAGAAATGAGCTCGAAGTACAGGTTTCTTCCACTCCTCGTGGCTATGACTCAATTCTGGAGCTATTTCCCTGTGAACCGCCCCTATCCGCTGAAGTCCCTGTGCCCCACATCTCAGCACGGTGGTGTCACTGTGAGAGCTCCCCCAGGACCCACCTCACCATGGTTCCCTGCCACCCACTGTGCTGTCCAGAGCCCTCCAAGCCCCAGCATGCAGAGCAGCTCTGCATGGTGTTGGGTGCTGTCTCTTGTGGGTCTCTGCCTGGTGTGAGAGCAGACACCGGTACCCAGCGGTGCACTTGCTGCAGGTGGCACTGACGTTGTCCTCCAAACACCCCACAGGAGAGGTGTTGCTGGCACTGGTGATGATAACTGTGCAATTATCTCCATTAGTCTTTAACCACAGATTACTATCTACTTCCTTTCTACCTCAAAAATGACGAAGGCACGGGACGAATTCAGCTGGTGCGCGTGGCAGTGATTCAGGGCACGACCCGAGGAGCAGCACAGCACAGCTCCCAGAGCCACTGGGAGCTCCCAGGGGCACCACCGTGCAGTTCCAAGGGCACTGCCACACTGCTCTGCTGCAACCCCAGGTTCCTTCGGAACAGAGCTGTCACTACAGCACATTTACACTTCTGTAGATCCAAATGTTGGTCACAATTTAGAGAATGAGGAAGTCAAATGTTTTACAAGCATGTTTGTGTACAGAAATAAGCATTTTGGTAAGGTGAATTTCACAGGCCCTGCTCTGCACAGATTTGAGTCCCCAGTTTGCACCTCCATACTTGGCTGTTCTACTACAGTGCAGGAACAGTGAACAGGAAGCAACTCCGTGCCCCTGGCGCTGGAGCACAGCGATGGAGCAGCACACGGAGGCCGGTCTGGTCAAAGCCAGCAGCACGAGCTGTGCCCCAGGAGCTCAGCAGGGCAGTGTCACACTGCTGTTTGTGTGCTGCTGCTGAGAGCATCGCTGGTTTGGGTTTTTGCAATGGAAGACTGTCACAGACACCCGATGCTCCCCATCCTTCCGAATTCCAGTTCGTTTAGTTTTATTTTATAACTGGCTTGAAAGCATCCAAGTACCAACACAACAGATTTCCCTACCAAAGAAACCTACAATTGTCATTCCAACAGAAAAACCTCCGCTGCTGTGCAGCACTACTGGGGCAAAGCAAGGCCTGGGGAAGTCACCGTGCGTCCTCCACACTTCGAGTGGGAACACGGGGTGAGAAACCGGGCTTCGGTACTCAGCGCTGGGCCGCGGGGAGCACGGCGAGGAGGAGGCCGGCAGGAAGCGGCGGCGGGCAGGAAGCGGGCAGGATCGCCCCGCCGGACCCATCTGCCGGAAGCCGCCCCCGGCCGCAGCCCGCACCGGAAGCCGCTGCCACTTCCGGCGCGCGCCGCGGGTCGCGTTCCGATGACGTAATGAGCACGGCGCTTCCGGGAGCGGCGCTGCGGGCCGGGAGCGGGGCGCGATGGGCGCCGCCCGTGACGGGGAGCAGCAGTCCGGGCCGCCGGGCGAGGAGGGTCCGGGCGGCGGCGAGGAGCAGCCGGGCGGCACGGTGAGGCGGGCGGGAGGCGGCGGCGCGGGCGAGTGGGCGGGCGGCGGGCTCGGGGCTGACGGCTGTGTCCCGCAGAGCCCATGGAACATCATGATCAAGCATCGGCAGGTGCAGCGGCGCGGCCGGCGCTCCCAGATGACCACCAGGTACGGGCGGGCTGGGACCCCGGGAGCGGGCTGCACAGGGATGGAGCCGGGCCGGGCCTGCGGGAAGCGAAGTGGGGCTGCCGGGCCGGTGCCAGCACCTCGCCTGACTCTCCGTCTGCTCCCACAGCTTCACTGACCCGGTCGTGTCCATGGATCTGTTGCGAGCCGTGCTGCAACCCAGCATCAACGAGGAGATCCGGGGCGTCTTCAATAAGTACATGAAGGTGAGCTGTACAGGGCACAGCCACAGCGCCTCAGAGGACTGGGAGCCAGGGCCCGGCTCTGGACACCCTGCTCTGGGTGCAGCAGGGGAGCTGGGCGTTGCACCCAGGCCAGAGCTCACCTGGCTGCTGACACCTTGCTGCTCCTTCCCCAGTTTTTCCAGAAGGCAGCACTCAATGTGCGTGACAACGTTGGGGAGGAGGTGGACCCAGAGCAGCTCATCCAGGAGACGTGTCGGAGCTGCCTGGAGCAGGTGGGCACAAGCACACGTGAAAGTGCTCTGAAACTATTTCTGGGACAAGGCTTGGGGGCAGATATACCCAAATCTTTAGAGTCTGTAGTGGCCAGCTGTCAACAAAGAGTTTGATCCTTAGATGTGGCTTATACATTTCACGTGGCCTGGGGCTTTCCTATCAGCACAGGTGCCTTTGCACACAGATCCTCTGTCACAGGGTGAAGCAGGGGTTGCTGGCAGACCCCCTTTCCGCCCAGAATCAGGTAACCTTCCTTTTCTTCTTGCAGGCCAAGCTGCTGTTCTCTGATGGCAAAAAAGTTGTGTCCAGGTTGCCCCATGAGCAGATGGGACCAAAGGTAAAAGTTATTGTTCCCAGAAGACTAAATTATTTGTAATAGCTGGGAGGAATAGAATGACTGGGTTGGAATTATCCATTAACTGTGCAAGTGAGGAGATGGAGCGGGAAATGTTAGTCTTGTGGGAAAAAGTAACCTACAGATCAATGCAGACCACGGGCACAGCATCTGAGTGCTTCACACTGCTATGGGGTGGCTGCAGAGTTTCTCTGTGCCCTTGTGCTCTCTGCCTCGAGTCAGCAAATGAGAGCTGTGGGCTGTGTGCATGGGGTCCTGCCTGACTGGGATGGGAGAAGGGCTCCTCTCCATCCTCCCACCATTCCTCTTCCAGCGTGCCCGACTGATAGATGAGGAATTGAATCGTCGAGGAAGCCCCCTTCCCAAAAAGGTAGGAGGGTTTTCCACATGGGAGATTTTATGCTTTTGGGAGACCTGTTTCTTGCTCCTGGTTATTACCACAGTATGAGCATGTGCAAGTGTGAATGTCTTTTGTGAAGGCTCAGAGTTGCTTGCTCTCATGCTGGTATTGTGCTCCTGGTAAAAATAGCTGCTTCTGTAGGAGGGAACAGATAATTAAAAGGGTCCTCTCTAACTGCACTACTGAATGACTGAAGGATTTCTTCCATGCAGAGAAAGGGACGGCCTCCAGGACAGAGCCTGTCAAATGATCGTGGGGCCTCAGGCATGTCTGCGTGAGTATTGGCCTCAAGCTGCTTCCTGTGCTTCAGGGGGCAGCGGGAAGCAAAACTGGCTCAAGTAAGGGGCACCAAAACCTGTGGTCTCCTTCCCCCTGCACAAGAGAGGTGCAGGGAGAGATGTCAGAAGGCAAGAAAGTTTTGGCTGAGGTTGAGTCACAGGAGGTGAAAGCCTTCCAGGAAACAGCTTTAAACAGGGCCACGGGATGCACAGAACCGGGTGGATGATTCAGTGAGCTGTGTGTGACACAGATGGTAGCGGGGAACACAGTAGAGATGAGGGTCCAGAGCAAGGTGGAAAATGGGAGAGGGTGGATCTGGAAGGGTTCAAGCTCAGATTCCTGCCACTGGGAGGTTTCTGTCTGCATTGATCTTTCTAGGACCTATTCTCATTTCACTTTCCTTCCCTTCAGGTGGAAGCTCAAAGTCTCTGAGCCTGTGAGAAGGGATGGACCAAAGGTATTGGCTGGCTGCTGCTGCTGGGCTCACCCTCTCCTCCCTTCCCTTCCGCAAGCAGAGCCCTGCCTGCAGCGGCAGCACAGGACAGTCCTAAGTTGTGCCCTACCCTGCTGAGTCTTTACAGTGCCTGGAAGCCTTTGCTTGCTTCCTCCAGACACTGTAGCTCTGTGGTGTGGTACAGCTGTTAGGAGACATGGGGAGAGCCTTAGTAATAGCCAGGAGGATCCCACAAGTGTTTCCCACAAGGGGAACAGCTTAGACCAGCCCAAAGTGATGCAGTTTCCTTCCTCTGTGGCAATCCAGAGGTTTGTGGCTACCTCCCTCCTTCCCAAATCAGGGGGCAGTTCTTAAGGTTCCCCATCAGAGAGCTGAGGCTCATGGAGCATTGGCTGGCACCAGCTTCATTTCTAATGTTGCCCCTTTTCCAATTGCTCTGTAGTGGGATCCATCCCGACTGACTGAAACCACAACCTTTGTGCTGGGATCTCGAGCAAACAAGTAAGGAATGGCCCTGTTGATGGAGGGTGGTGTCTCCCAGGCAGGAGCCCGTAAGACTCCTCCCATCACTTCACTTCTCTGCCTCGAAAGCAGTAGGAAGGGCTGGGGTCTTGGGAGGAGAGGAGGTGCCCCGTTCTGCTGCAGGGCCCTTCTGTCCCAGTGTAACACCCCCTTGTGTTCTTTTTTCAGAGCTCTCGGGATGGGAGGAACAAGAGGGCGACTCTACATCAAGCATCCCCACCTCTTTAAGGTCAGATACCACAGCAGGATGCCTCCTCCTTTGGGGTTTGCTCAGAAGCAGTTTGTGATGGGAACTGGGAGCGCGTGCTTTGGCTCGCTTGGTTTTTCCTCCCCACATCCCATTTGTTGTCTTAGAACACGTACACACAACCTGGCCAGCACACTAAAACATAAGTTAATGGTAGCACAGCATCTCAGGTGCTGGTTTTGCCTAGAGTCAGGGTTTTGTTTGAGAGGAGAGCAGGCAGGGCTAAGCCCTCCCTCTGGGAGCCCCCAGCACCGCGCCGCGGGGGTGAGGTGCTGGCAGCAGAGCACTGGAATGGGCTGTGCCCCACAGGAGGGGGGTCCAGGTGGGAGGTCTGTGTCCTGTGTTCAGCCAGGTCCTTGCTGCTTTATTGCAGTACGCAGCCGACCCGCAGGATAAGCAATGGCTGGCAGAGCAGCAGCACATGAGGGCCACTGGGGGCAAGATGGTGAGTACGCCCGGGCTTGTGCCCGCTGCAGCCCAAGAACTGTGCGGAAACCCGCTCAGGTCGGACAGGGGCGGAGGAGCAGAGAGGCAGGCAGCACGCCACGGGCAGGGCCACGTGGCAGGACAGGCAGAGGCAGGGCTCGGGCACCTCGGCCAAGAGACGTTTGCTGCTCCCGGGGCTCGGGCAGGCGCAAGAGCCAGGAATGCAGGGATGGGGTGGTAGAGCTGCCTTGCGGGCACCGCAGACCCCAGCAGAAGCACAGCGCGTGTCTCGCCTTGCTGCAGGCCTACCTCCTGCTGGAAGAGGACATCCGCGACTTGGCGGCCACCGATGACTACAGGTGAGGCCCCGGGCCCTGCAAACGGCGGGGTCACTCGGATGGATCCCCGTGCTGGGGACCCCGTGAGGCCTCGCTTGCCCCAAGAGCCTGTGACCTGCACTCACCCCGCTCTCCCACAGGGACTCGGTGGACCTGCGGCTGGAGGAGCTGAAGCCCTTCGTCCCACCTGCCTGGATGACGGAGAAGATGCAGAAGTACATGGAGACGCTTCGCAATGGGGGGGACCCACCGCCGCCCCCTGAGATCCCCCCCGAGGCCCTTCCTGAGGGTCCTCCCGAAGGCCATCCCGAGCCCGCAGACCTGCATCCGGCCCCGCAATAAAAGCCACTGCTTCGCACCCGTTTCCACGCCTGCTGGGGGGGGGGGGGGGACGGGACACGGGACACGGGACACGGGACTGTCCCTTTAAGGGCTCGCTGCGACCGGGGGGAGGGGGGGGGGGGGGGCTCGGGGATCTTTCGCGCATGCGCTGTCCAGCCTCTTCCGGGTCCACCCGCCGTTTCCGTAGCAGCCGCGTTCTTGGCTGTATCCGATTGGCTGGCGGGAGCGGAAGTGCGCGCTGATTGGCGGAGGCGTCGCGAGTTTGAAACATTCAAACGGAGTGCGGGAGCGGGGGCGGAACGGAAGGCAGGGGAAGCGGGGCCGGGACCCGGGATCGGAGCTGAGCCACACCGGGAGCGGGCCGAGCCGAGCAGAGTCCAGCCTAGCAAGCCGCCGAGCGAGAGCACGAGGGAGCGGCCCGGAACCGCCATGGCCTCGCAGAACACCGACCCCGCCTCCGTGAGCAGCGCCGCCGCCCGCAAAGGGGCCGAGGCGGGAGCCACGGCCGCCCGCGGCTCCGTGGGGAAGAGGTGAGGCCGGGCCGGGGGCCGGAGGCGGTTAGGCTGCCCCGCCCGCGAGTGCCGGTGCGACCCGTAACGCGTTGTCCCCGCAGGCTGCAGCAGGAGCTGGTGGCGCTGATGGTGAGTGGGGCCGGGGGCAGAGGGGCGGTGCGGGCCGGGCCGGCGCTGATGGCGCTGCCTCGCAGATGTCCGGCGACAAAGGCATCTCCGCCTTCCCCGAGTCCGATAACCTCTTCCGCTGGATCGGCACCATCGACGGCGCGGCGGGCACGGTGAGAC